CCCGGTTGGTGAGCAGAAGTGCAAGAAGAGTTACCAAAAAGTGGCACCTCGCCATGGGGTTTGTAACCTGCAGAGCTCCAGTTCAACACTGGAAAGAAAGAAAAAAAAGAAAGAATTTTATTTTATTTTATTTTTTAAAAAAAAGCTCCTAGCACGGATCATTATTGTAGGGATGTTGTAGGTCCTTCCCTTCCTGGAGCAACTTTCCTCACTCAACCTGCTTGACAAATGTTCCTTAATTCCCCTTCCAACAGGTAAGTGCAGTATGAGCCTGTTTGACAGATGGGTTCATGGAAACAAAGACCACCAAAGTGACTTCTCCAAAACCACAAATCTCAGCAAGCAGGACGTTTATTTATTGTATTGGGCAGATGGTCATGCTGAATTATGAAAGAAGTTATCTGGAGTTTAGCTGTGCATCTGTCCAGGGATACAGGAGACCTCCCACAGTCCCAGCTGTGGGAGTAGAGCATCTCTGGGTGTGGACTCTCCTGGTCCATGGTGGGTCTGGCCCTGCAAACCCATCTCCCCAGCGTGTCTCCCCTAAGAGCATGCAAAACCACATGCTCACTCCTTTCTAGAGATGCCCATGCATGGAAAGGACCATGCCTGCTGGACTCTTAAGCAGGGATACGTATGGACCCAATTCCAGGAGTCAGCTAAGGTTGTTTGTTATTGGATGCTAGCGATATTGGAAATTGCAAAGAAAGCTCATGATTTTTCTTAGATGTGTATTGTTTCCTCATACGCTGCTCAATAATCGAACGAACTCTCTCAAAACAAAATCTACTCACCTTTAGAAAAGAAAGCTTAAGCAGTTTCAGACTCTATTCCCATGCTGCCAACACTGGCCATTTTTTGTGGGTTTGCAACCACGTTTTCCTTTTTTTTTTTTTTGGCAAATATTTTCATTCCAGGGTTGCTGTGGGAAGGACTCCCCACCCAAAGCCACCAGTAGTAAAACTGAGCAAAAGGGCTGACTGCTGTCGAATGCAGAATGTCAACAGTGGAAAGCTGAGGCAGTGGTTTCTTCTGTCTTTTTTTGAGATGATTACTTGAGACACTTTTTGTAGTAATAATACTTTTAAGACAGGCAGATAGGTGTTATTCTTAATTCTTTTCCTGTTGAGGGTGTCTCTTTAATGCGGTTAAGAACTACTAACTCTGATTCACCACCATCATGTTTTCTGCTCCTAGTGCACTGTAGGGCTTCATTTCTGCTCCCAGCTTGGCTATCTTGGTTTTTTCAGTAGTTTTTCTTTTCTTATGTTCCAGAAGATGTTTCCTTTCTATTTGTAATTACAGGCTAAAGTTTATTTTAAGGAGACTTAATACAAGTCAGGGAACTGATTCTCATCTGCACTTGAGCCCTGTTGCATGGCTCCGTAACATGATGGAGTGTGAAATGGAGTAAATTATAAACAGAATTCACAGTGGCACACTTAAGTCTTTTTGCACCCCGTGACTCTCAAAAAGGACCCTCACATTTAATAAGAATCTGGTGCCTGGTATTCTTGTTCTCTTTCTTTACATCTTCATTTCATAATAATGCCACTTAAAAAGCTATGTAGAAAGTACCAGAAAAGTCCATGATAACCCACTTGTAAGGAGGAAATGGGGAGCATGATGAACTAAAGGGAGGAGGAGAAAAACATGGAAAGGTTGCCAAGGTGCAATCTGCGGGAAAGCAGCTCTGAATTTTGTATAAAATCAGATTCCAGACCACAATAATCATATAATTTTAAGTTCCTGAAAAGGTATCTTTGGGCTAGGTGTTAAGACCCATCTAGGTGCCTGTTGGTATTTTCAGTACCACCTGGACACAGACTCTCTGAATCAGCATTTTAGATAGCTGAACTAGGTAGTATTTAGCTCCTGAGGCTCATGGTGTTCTCAGAATATTAATTGGACCTGTATAGTCATAACCAACGAGGGTGAGGGTTGCGATGCTATTCCTTGTAGTCTGTCATTTATTCTGTCACTGTGTTATTGCTGGTATTCAAAGTAACCGATAAAGCAAATAAAAATATGATGCCACCTTGATGCAAGATTTTCTGTCGAATATTTTAGGGCAGAGTCAGTGAGCCTGAGTATTCTCTGCAAGTCGAATTATCCCCCCAAATACAAGGTTTTGCTGCCATGCTCAACAGGTGGGCTGGTTAGGAAAAGGGGACTCTGTCATCCAGCAAGACTGAATCATCCATCTAAAGGCGTGAGGGAAAGCAAACCCTCTGAATTGCCACAGCTCTGTGCTGGGTGTAGATGCTGAGCTAAATAATTCAGCCACGATCCTAGGTCAGCTGAGGTGGAAACGAGTGGCTGTGTGCTTTTGTAGTGACACAAAGCAACCGTGAGCAAAACCCCGGGCGAGCTTGGAAAACACACACTCAGATGATGAGGTTAATATTTTTCGTTGCGCAGCCACGGCTGAGCACTGTGGTCCACTGGTTTGCCAGCAGCCCCACTTCTCCTGCTGCAGAGAGGTTCTCAGGCATCAGGGTTTTTTTTCCAGGAAAAGCATCTCCGTATGTGCAGCCTCCCTGGCTGCTCTAACTTTCTAAGCAAGAGCTGAATCCTCAAATTACATTTGTTTTTACTTTGAGAGGCCAAAATTCCTTTTGCAGGTTCCTCTGGAGATGCGTGAGTCAGTGGTGAGACTCAGTTCCTGCACTGCCTCGGTGCAGAGCTAAACATCCACAGAGAGCTGTAGATGCAGCTGAAATTATAAGTGTTATAACTCGGTCTTTATTATGGTTAAGGAATTTTCTTGGGGGGGGAAGATGAAATCAAACCATTTCTGAACGAGATGTATGCACTCATGGCACGTGAGACCTTTCGTAGCGCATTTGTTGCTACGGCCAAAGTTTTAAATCTTCTGCAGATGTGGAAATTGTTGGAAGTCTTAACTTGCTCATTGCCTTATGATGCTACGCAAAGAAAGTCTCTTCAAAGGCTTCAAAGATCAAGTTACTTGCTTAGGTTTTCCCCTCATGCTAAATCATTCTATTCTGCGCCGCTGCTGACAAACTCACACCGCAGTCTGAAACGTGGTGCAGCTTGAAAAGAGACTGTTAAAACACGGTAGGACAGCACGGGGTTAACTTTCTCTGGGGAACGAGCTAGCTATTATTTATAAAAGGGCAGGTCCTGATTTTCGCTTGTGTGGAAGCTCCTGTGTATAGCTCTGATGGTCAAAAGAAGCCACAATTTAAACAAGAATCAGGATGTTAGCAGTCATAATGGTTTTATACATATAAACAATTACAACAGGTTTTGCACGAGCTGTGAATTGCCAAGATGCAACATCCAGCTCCGGGGTTTGACGCAAAGATTAGAAGTAGCTAAATGGTTATTGCTAACCTCAACTATTAAGAAATCGTGGTCCAAGCCTCCAAAATCTTGAGGCTGTTCTTAAAATGTTGTGATTTGAAAGTGTTTATTTGATATTTTAAAGAGGGTTCTTTTGAGTTCACTTTATGTACCTTCTGCCTTTTTAGGCCACAGAAATCACAAAGTGCAGACATTTTTTTTATAAACAGAAGCTGAGATTTGGTTGTGTATTTATAGGACTACAAGGCCCATGACTCTAACATGGCATGAAGTATCATGAGACTTGTGGTATGTGCCTCTGAGAGCTGGCAAGACTGTAAAGGACTTATTTTTATTGCCAGAGTGGTTAAGAGATGACTCTGGTTATATGGAAAGAGCAGAACCTAAGGCAGGGCTCTCTTCATAGCAAAACATTTCACTGTGTTTATGCTTGTAAAATGCAACAAGCAGCTAAGGAAATGTAGGTCAAGTGAGGTTCATAGCAAAGCAGTTACAGTTTTTGTCTCAAAGATGCATCTTAGGTGATGTTAAGTAGTGTTTTCTTTCCCTAAGTGTAAAGCTGCATCCCTGGCAGGTATTCACCACTGAACAGGAAGGCGACGTGCGAGCCTTATGGCAGGGATTGAAACATCTGTCGTTCTTACTCCTTCCCTGAATGTTAGTTAAGCTTCAGAGAGACCCTTCTTTTTCCTTGTTTAAGCATAACCTACTGTTTATAGCGCAGTAAAAAGCTGCATGGCACTTTGGGGAAAAGAGCTGCTGTGCTCAAATCGAGGTATAAGAGCCTGGAAACAATTTGGCAGTGTTACTCTCCTCTGCCGAGCAGACTGCCTGAGACAGTCCTGTGCACCAAGTCTTCAAAAGTAAGACCTGTGAATGTATGCATTAGCTCGTGCTGCCCTGGCGTGCAAGAAGAATTGTTGCCTGAGTGCTCCCACCATCGCTCACCAGCTCTGTTTCTAGCAAACCATTAGCAGCAGAATAAGCATCAGCTTTGGGAGAGGCTTCACGGAGCCCGGCTGGAGAACCAGCATCTCCAAAGCAAGAGCAAGACAAGAGGAATATCCCAAATGGGTTTAAATGTGCCTGCCCAGGAAGAGAAGATTTGGGTCTAGGAGGAATAAACCTCAGAACAAGGGAGGGAGGCATGAAGTGTCAGGATGTTGTGAGTACCCAAATGTCTTTCCTTGGCTCTGTGTCTAACCCGCGGGCATATTTTGCATCTTTTCTTCTGCATCGTCAAGAGAATTACACATCAAGTTCCACCTCCAGGGTCGCATCACACTTGCACTGATGCCAAGAAGACAAAGAGATGTTTTAGCTCTTCTTGAGGGCTTCATCGCAGTGGATGATGCAGAAGAAGAGAAAACCAAGCGTGACTTCCAGCTCAGAGCAGGGCTGATGTCAAACAAAAACACCTTTACTTAGAAAATGTGTGTGTGCACGGGGTGCACACCCTTCGTTGCTGGTGTGGTCATGAGGCGTTGTCTCTTCTGGATCTATTTCCCTGCTTTCTGATGTGTCGTGTTAATAAAATCAAGGTTCTTTCTCAGAAGCTTGGCTTCTGGAACTGCCTGCAGTGCCCGTCCCCAGTGCAGGCCTGAACTGCGGGAGGCCCCGCACGCTTTGGCAGATGTTTACAACATGTCACCTTATAAAACCACGTGGAAAGGCCAGCGTGAATTCCTGTTAATGCCTTTTCTTTCTTGTGTTGCTGTTGGCTTTCAGCACGTGTGGAGCGAAAGTGAGGACTGCCTACCTTTTCTGCAGCTCGCGCAGGACTACATCTCCTCCTGTGGGAAAAAGACACTCCATGAAATATTGGAAAAAGTCTTCAAATCCTTCAGACCCGTAAGTGCCTCGTTTTTTACTTTCTAAACACTGACAGTTACCTGTGACTTCTAACAGGGTAGCGCTGGATGGAGCAAGGTGGTTCTTCTTCTGCAGGGACTTAACATCTCCAGTCGGCTGCCTGGGCGCAGGGGTGTTAGCACACAAGCTGCTATCAGGCGATTGGGAATGGTTTCTTGGAAACCAGCTGCCTTTTTATTTCCAGCCCCACATCCAAGAGGATGAGATTCCCGTGTGGGGTGGGAGGCCAACTGCTGATGCAGGCGGTGGCAGCAGCTCCCCAGCTGTGCAGGGGCTCCCGTCCCGCTGGCTCCGAGGGACAGGATGCGCCTCAGCGCCGCGGGACTGTGTGGCAGAGTTATTTCCTGGCACTGACATCAGGGATTTTTGCAGGGATCTGAGTAGCAAGAGGAAACCTCTGGGAAGCCGGAGAGAAATGCGCTTTCTCCTCGGAGCGGCTTGTTTTAATTTTAGGGTTGGCTTCTTTTTTCCTCAGGTGGTCCAGCTTTTGCTGTTAGGACGGTTGCCACTTGGTATTTGCAAAAGCCAGTTTGGTCACTGCTTCAGAAGAGGTTGGAGCAGAAGCTTGGTTTTGTGGGAAGGAGGCTTGTATTTTCCTGTTTTGCTGCTACTCAACTTTCTCTGTCCTTGTTTAACACCAAGATTTGGGTCAAAGCCTGGGTTGCGTCAGGGGGAGGTGACTTAGGTTGGCTGTTGTCCTTCATTTTTGCCAAATCCCTGTGCACAGCCTCTCCTTTTTGAGTGCCTGGGGTTGGGTAAGGGGCTGGTGCAAAGCAGAGTGGAGGTTCCTTGCCAGAGCCGTGATGTCCATGGGAAAGCTGGCCTATGGATGTTTTTATACTCGACTGAAAATATAGATGTTTTTCCCTCCTCTGTTTTTCTGGCCGACTTATCGAGAAGACTGAAAATGTATCCCAAGTATTTAGGGTGAAAGGGAGGGCTTGGAGCTCCAGTATGAAAACACTGTCCCTCCCCGTGTTACACCCTTGCATTGCCTTGCCACGCACTGCCGCAGCTGGTCGACATAAAAGAGCATTATTTTAAAGAATCCTTTGAGAGACTGGAAATAAATAGAACAGATGCACCCTTTTCTTAGAAAGGACTGGGAATCTGATCTGCCAGTACAGCTGCTTGTAATTGTGGAAACATACAAAAATATAAATATGTTTCCCAGAACAATATTCAGCTCTTGGATCTTCATAGCTGTTTTCTCCTGCTCAGAAAAACTGTGTCTTTGAGAAGAAACTTCCATCGGTTTAACTAAAGAGGACTTCAAAAAGACTTAATTAAATTGATACAGATCACTTATTTCATTTAAACCACATGTATTTCAGCGTAGCTTAAGTTGCTGAGAAATTGGCTTCAGCCAAACCAAGTTAAGCTACTCTTCAGAATAAAAAGGTGCAAAGCAAGGGGAACCATTAAACTCATTTAGCCTGGGCCCTTCATTAACACAGCACATATCACCCCATGATTCCTACCACCGAGCGCTAAATTGTGGCCGAGCTGGAGAGTGTCTTTTCCAAATACACCCAGTCTTGATGTAAAATCTTCAGGTGACTTAAAGTATACAATACGACTGGGCACTTTTTCTGATCATCATCATTAGTTACGCTCCTGTGAAAAGCTCTTTTATTTACAATCCGCGTTTTCCTAGGTTTTGCTTCCTAGCTGTTGAATTTCATTATGCTTTTGTCTGCTGAAGAACCGCATCCTCAATTATCAGAGACCTCTTGCAGACCGTATTCAAGTAGCTCTTCATTTTCTCTTGGATGTGCCATAAAGATTTACGTTTCTCAGATTCTCCTTTGACCTAGCGTTGAGAGATTTGCATTGGTGTAACAAAACTGAGTTTATCATTCGAGGGATGGTTGTAAGTAGACAGGATCTAATGAGGAATGTATTGACATTTTCCCCTCATTGTAATTATTAAGAATAGCATATGCATATAGGTAGGGGTATCTTACCGTAGCATATGGTAGGATAGATTTTAAAAAGTGAAGGGTGTTACACTAGGTGTATGGAAACAGTTATTTTACACCCTCAGGCCTTTGCCAGAACAAAGCCACTTTTTGTCAGTATGGGGACATTATTTCTTTTGCACTGTTCCCCAGGGCATTTTTTCTCCACTTTCCCAACCAAGTCTACTGTTGGAGACTGCTCTGGCAAATTTCAGTTTGAAGAATGGCAGTTTAGGAAAAACTAGTGCCGCAGGTCAGACCATGCTCTTCTGAGGTGTCTGATGGTCATGGCTATTCAGTCTGGGACACTGAGGAGGTTTTTAGCATGGGCTTGGTAAGCACCTTCTGAAAGTCTTTCCCATTTCAGTATTTCCAGCCAGACATCCAAGATTATTAGACAGTTTTGCAAGTCTTTGTTAGGGTCCTTTGAAGGGAAGGGTTTAGGAGGAGACACCGGTGGTGCACCTGCAGTTCTCCATGCCCTCACGCACGGCATGAGCACCTGCCTTCCCTTATCTGAAGGCTCCCAGACCAATTTTCTCCTGGTAACTCATCTCAGCCCAGCTCCTCACCATTCGTGGTAACAGCCCAGCCATGTCTCCACTGTCACTGCTCTCAGACATCTCTCCCTTGTGTTTTAGGGGTGTAAACGCAGTGCCAGGGCAGGATATTTATTTCGATGAGGCTTTTAAAAGTGTTGGTTAACCTGTGACAGCTAAACCACACCTCTGAATCCTGCTGTAGACAAGGTCAAGCTGTTTCTTTACTGAATGTGGTGGGGGACATGTTGTCTCTGCCCATTACTGCCTTCCTGGGTCAGTTTCCACAAAACTGTGATTTGCCTTATTAGCCACTTTTTCAGGGAGCATCCAAAAGTACCAGACACTAACGCAGTTACATAAACTGGTATCGATAGCACTGGGCTCAAATGCTGCTATTTGCCTCAGAGCACCCCAGCTTCTCCAACACCCTTGTCTCTGGTGCCAGAGGTGTCCATGCTGGTGCCCCTCACACTGGGATTTGACAGAACCGCGTTCTCTCTAGTGTAGGGTCATGTGGACTGCTGAAGCTTGGCCTTTTACTTGGTTTATTTTTCAATGTGCTTGTATATCAACTTTTGGTAGGAGGCAATGTCCCCTTGGCCGTTTGGCTGTTCAGCTCTTTCTACACCCTTTTCCTGTTTTACTTTTTTCCTCCTTGTTTTTGCTCCCCATTAAAGTCCTTTCAAGACTGCCACATAGATGGTACTTTAATATATGAAATAGATATGGATTAGAAGCAGAAACAAGTATGTTTGAAAGAAGATAAAGTGGGAGTCAGTCTAGGATCAGCTCAGGCCAGCTTCATCATCTCAGTGTGTCCTCATCTTTCATACACCCTCCCTCTGCTTTGACCCAATGTTTGTAGAGCACCCTGCCCTTTGGACCCAGATCCTTCTTCCTTGGGGTCAAGATGTGGACTGATTTGTCACTGCAGTGCAGAGAGCAGTAAGGGGTTAACAGCAGTGAGGGACCATAGTCCTGTGGGAAGCAGGACCTGCATGGTTGAGGTCCTTGGTGCCTTGGAAGGTCCTAAAGTGTCTGTGAGAGAATAAAACTGCGCATCTCTTGGAGGAACATCCCATCCCCATCCTTCCTATGCTCCCTAAAAACACTAATGTCAGCAGCATTACTCTTTGATTTATGCTGTGCCAGGGAGAGGAGAGCTGGGATTCCCGAGGGCAAAGGGAGAGGGGATGTGTGAAAAGCGGGACGTGCTCCCCATCCTTCAGGATCGTGTGAGTCTTTGCAGTTCTTGTGGTGTACGTTGTGTTTTCCTTGCTAATGTTGCGTGGGAAAGGCTTACGGCATCCCATGAAATGAAGATTCATGTGGCTCATTTCCCTGCAAATCAAGGAGGAATTATAACTAGAGCTGGGCAAAAAAAATGTGATCAAAAGTCTTTCTGCTGAGTGATATAAACAGAGCGGTACAACAGTCACATTTAATCTGAATACACCGAGTCAGTTTAGCGAAAATAGTACCGTGGATAAGAAAGTCTAGAGGCCTTGCTTTTGCATTTGAAAAGCTGAGTAATTTTAGAATCACAGAATGATAGAATTGCCTGGGTTGGAAGGGACCTTTCAGATCGAGTCCAACCATCAACATAATGCTGACAAAAACCATCACTAAACCATGTCCCTCAGCACCACGGCTACCCATCTTCTAAATACCACCAGGGATGGTGACTTAACCACTTCCCTGGGCAGCCTGTTCTAATGCTTAGTAACCCTTTCAGTGTAAAAAATGTTCCTAATACCCAGTCTGTACCTCCCTTGGTACAACTTGAAGGTGTTTTCTCTTGTTCTATCGGTCTATACCTCCCTTGGGGCAACTTGAAGGTGTTTTCTCTTGTTCTATCGCCTGTTACTTGGGAAAAGAGACTGACCCCCACCTCTCTACACCCTCCTTTCAGGTAGTTTTAGAGATCGAGAAGGTCTGCCCTCAGCTTCAACATGAAACAAAACGCCCGCATCCTGAAAATGAACCAAGCAGGTTCACGTTCAGTTAAGCATTTGATTTGAAAAATGCATATGCATTGGAGTATTTATTCTTTGTTCTGCTTAGAAAACAAGAATGTTTTAAGCTTGGGGTCTCTCCATAAGTATTTTTAAAATGCGAAGGAGGGGTTTAGTCAGCAAATTCTCCTTCCGTTTCCCTGCCAGAGAAACCCTGCAACTAAAAAGCTGTTTTTCTCCCAGTGGCAGTGAGGAATACGAGCTTTATAGGACCCAGAGGCTAATTCTGTGCATTGTCTTTGTACCCTCTGAGTACTTCTGAACGTTGATCACAGACTAAATTAGTTCAGGTCCCTAAAAATCTGCCTCGTCGCAGCCTTCTCATTTTCATCCTACCACCTACTGAGTGTCGCTCTCCTCCTGATTTTTCTGGGTTTTGCCTCTTTTGAGAGCTGACAGCTGCGTCACCCTCCAAACAGGGTGTTGCGTGCATCTGTGCTGCTCTTCCAGCCCTGGCAACCTAAACACACGGCATTCCCCGTAATGCCTGGCATGTGATCTTTCCTTTGTGGGTATTAATAGCTGCTGGTGCAGGATTCTAATACCAGATTTCCACAACAGATGCGTTATTTTGACTGTTATTTGGTTTATCTGTCTTCCTGACTCCTGTTGGCTTGGCAACCTTTTGGAGGAGAGGGGAAAAGTCCAGACATTGCTGTTTGCTCCATTTTGCTTGTAGCAAGCAAGTGCTGCTGCAGCGCTCAGAGCTGTCAGGTGGAGGCATCCAGATGTTGTCCAAGGAAGATGGGCTGGCTGTTCTTCACAAGCCCAAATCTATTTTGCAGAAATTTAAAGGAGCTCTGGCAATTTTGAGCTGAATTCGGAGTTATTTCTCACTGCGAGGGCTTCACCCAGCGTGCAATGCTTAGTCTGGTGGGGTGGAGGGAAGGGTTCAAGAGGAGCACTTGCCATGGTGGGGTCTTTAGGGACTCCTTGCCTACTCCATGAGCCAGTTCTGCACAAGGATGCTTTCTTCTTTGGCTTTTATAGGGTTGCTGAACACTATCTTAAACCAAGATAACTGCCTGGCAATTTTGAGCTGAATTTGGAGTTATTTCTCACTGTGAGGGCTTCACCCAGCGTGCAATGCTTAGTCTGGTGGGGTGGAGGGAAGGGTTCAAGAGGAGCACTTGCCATGGTGGGGTCTTTAGGGACTCCTTGCCTACTCCATGAGCCAGTTCTGCACAAGGATGCTTTCTTCTTTGGCTTTTATAGGGTTGCTGAACACTATCTTAAACCAAGATAACTGCTACACTATTACCCTGGTTCTTTTTGAAGTTAAACCACTGCCAAGCCTAAACACTCAATAATTTGTGATATGACCTCAGGGAAGAACACAAAGCTTTCTGCAAGCGCTTTGCTTTTGGTTCTATTTATCTTCTGGTCTCTGAGCACTTAATTTGGTGTGAGGATGTGTTTTTAAATCTTTCTCCATCACAGGAGGGAGGGAAAGAGACTCAAGATTGTTATGCAATACTATTATTCCAGGATTTGAGGTTTTCAAGAAGTGGTACCTAGGTAGTGAGTGAAGATTTGCAGCGAAGCTGCACGAGTGGGCAATTTGCTATTACACAGTATTTTCTCTTCTTTACAGTTACTTGGGCTTCCAGATGTTGATGATGATGCATTTGAAGAATATAACGCAGATGTGGAAGAAGAGGAACCAGAAGCCGATCACCAACAGATGGGTGTCAGTCAGCAGTGATTTTCTGAGAAGCTAAAAAAGATTCGAAAGCCTTTGGTACCAGGTGGGGTCAGGTGGTCCCACGTTAGCCTGTTCGAATTAGCACATCACATGGGGATATCTGGCTCCCAAGATAAAGGTTTTAAAAAAAAAATTATTAATAATAATAATAATAATCTGTGATGAGCTTTGCTAAGAAGTGACCTGAATTTTGCTCCTGCTTCAATGGGTTTTCTATGGAGTTGTCTTGGTAGCATTCTGCCGTTATCAGTCTAGAAGTAGTTTTGTGGCTGACTTGTCTCTTCGATTTGTGTTCGAGAGTAGCGCTCGCTGACGTGAATGTAGAGCACCCAGAATGTAGGAAGCGTGTGGTGAGAGAGAGGGCCAAGTCCTCACCAGTGACCTTTCCGAGGAAACCGGCGCAGAAGTGACCTGCGCTTTTATTTTTAGTTCAACAGCTATGGTTTTCGACAAAAGTACCAAACTCGGAGAGATTTCTCCTGAAAAGCACTAGTTTAATAGTGGTTGGTACTGCAGAAGTGCACGTGAAGGCTTAACAAAAACCATGGGAAATGGGAAATCCAGGGTGGCATTGGTGTCAGGTGTATTAATGTCGTTTTACTGACACCCGAGTTTACAAGTGCTGGATTAATAACTGGGAGTAATTAGTATCAGCAGTACATGTTATAACCAACCCTGGTACTCCAGCATCATGTGATCCAAAGCCAAATGCTTGCTTTCTACAAACCAATTAAAAATTAGCCATTGCCTAGCACACTTCTGCATGACAACCAACTTTAAGCTTTTAATACACTCCTAAATCATTACTCAAACCTCGCGGCATTGTGAATTAAAGTGCAACTTAACTTTGAAGCCATAGGGGTATAAACCAGCACCTGGCTCTTAAAATTATGCCAGACCCGTTCCTCTCCCTGGGCCTTTGAGCTAATCCAGGCATTTACACCTCATTGGAGAGGAGCTAAAATACTACTGCTTTGGCTGATATAAAAACTAGTGAGGTTTTACTTAGCTGGGGACTTGCTCCCCAGAGGGGTTTGGTGGGCTCTTGGTATAAAGGAGAAGACAACCCCTCATGTTTTATACCTATTTTGCATAGATTTAAGTGACTCAGATGAGTGCCAGACTGTGAAGATGCAAGGTCTCTTTATTTACTTGCCTTTTGTACTGAAAATATAAGAAGCAAAGGGATTCTGTTGTTATACAGCTATTTTCCACGACTGACCAAAATGTTTCTAAATTTACTCCTTTTTTCCAATTTTTTAAAAATCGTGAAATGAAGGTCACATGCTTCAAAAGCCCTTTTATACAGAATTAGCTTTATAAAACCAAAAAGTGAGCGAAGAGGAAATGCTTGGACAACTCCCAGAAACAACTCACAGCATTTTGAAAACCCTGTTGTTAGTGACGTCTCCTTTTCAATAGATTTTTTTAAAGACTTTTTTTTTTTTTCCAAGGTTACTTAAGAGAGCAAGTTTTCTTGGTGGTTTACATTTCTGATGATGGCTTGAGAGATGCGTAGCACTTGATTTTTTTCCAATCTGGGGCAAAGACCTTCCGTAACCGGGAAGGTGTGTTGTACCTGAGTATGCACAGAAGTGTCTGCAACACTGTAAAAGTCGGAGTTTAAGAATATTAAATAAAAAAAAAAAAGGGGGGGTGGGGAGAAGACAAACAGAGCTTAATGAAATTTTGTACATTCTTTGGGCATGCAGGCATCAACATGGTAGTCGCAGCACATTTTCTATGGACTAGTGACGTGAGAACTGTGTCAGTTCATTGTATAACACTGTACAGCAGCAATAGGCTTTTTGCTTACTAAAATAAAGTGCAAGACCAGTGGTTTCCAGCCCTGCTTTTAAGTCCCTAAGTTTTTCTTTACAGCTAAAACAGATGCCATAACCTTAAACAGAGCCTTTGCTTCGGGACAACCTTCCTCTTCCTAGCATCCCGTCCTCGGGTTGCGGCTCGCACAAGTAGATCTTCTGGGGCTGACTTTCCTCTGCCGTAACGTAAGGCGAGGGATAATTTGCAGTAGCACAAGCTGGAGGCAAAGTCAGGTTTGTTGGCCATGTGCACCTGTTTTGTTAGCCACGTGCACCCATTTTGTTAGCCACGTGCACCTGTTTTGTGTCTGGTTGGGTGCACGGCTGCACAGACGGGTGCCGGCACAACAGCCGGAGGGATGAGGGGTGGACATGGGTGGTAGCTGAGGACCCTCAGCCAGAGGTGCCTTGCAGGGTGTCAGGGGCACCTGGAGGAGGTGTGGATGCTCCACAAGGCTCAGTGGAGAACTGGGCTCTGGGCGGCAGCGGGATAGGTGGGAATTCTTGAAATGAGAAAAGACTGTAAGATCCAGTGCTTGTAATTGCCCACAGGAGGTTGTGACACCTGCTCTGCCACCTTTCCCTGACGATTGACTCAGTTGTCAATGAGCGCTTGAGCATTAAGATGGTTGCAAGCAAACATAATGCTGTAAATTATGTAGATACATTATTTTCTGTATTCACTAACTGGCTTTTTTTTCGGAATGCCATATGCCGTTTGGGTGACTTCCACAGCAAGTGCTGGACAGCCGGGGGGCCCTTCTGCAGCCCTCACCCCTGCAAAATTCCTACTGAAGCCAACAAGAATTCGTTCAAACGTGACCTGCAGGACTGGGCAGGTGCTCCAGGGGACGCATGGGGCTTGGTCCTGCAGAGACCTGCGTGCTCTTGTCCCCTCTCACTTTGCTGGGAGCTGAATGTGTTGAGCCCCGCTGCCGAACTGAAGCGTGACCAGGCAGCACTGAGGATAAACTGGAATTTTATACATAGAAAATTTGCTTTACATGTGTATTAAATGTGAATGAGCATTAATATAGAATGTATTTTATCAAAAAAATATTGATTGCTTACTTTGACCAAATACATTTCTGTATGACCGCGTTACTTGTTCTATACTTACCAAACGATGCAAGAGATGCAGAACTGGTTTAGTTGTATTACAAAGTATTTTTATATTTTATTTGTATTTTATTTTTCCCTCACCCCCACCACATACTGAGGTTAGTAGCCAGTCAGTAATTAACCAGGGGTGCATCACCCAGTGGTCAGGCTGCCAGACTGAGGCACAAGATTTGCCACCACGTGCATTAATGCTCGCAAGCCTGGGGACTCAGTGAAAAAATGTGGGTTCAGAGCTCTGCCCTTGCCTTGCCCGGAGCTTTGGGTGGATCTCAGTGACTGGGAATTCAGGGGATGCCTCCAGTTATGCATCCAGGCCTCCATGAAATTCAGTGGGAGCAATGTAACTCCTTTGAAAGTCCCACCTTAAGCCTATTCTCAAAGTCATTGCCTATTCTCAAAGCAAACCATTAGTGAAAGGACACAGAAGAGTCTCTCTTCTCCTGCCTCTCTCACAGGCATTTCGTGCTCTGGCTAAATATAAATATACAAGAGCAGAGCCTCCTGCGGAACTGGCGCTTGGGAATAGGAGTTGGACGAGCGCAGTGAGCAGAGTGCTGCTCGGAGGATGGAGATACATGGGATGCCAGAGGGAAGAGCGGATTTCAGGAATGTAACAGCTGGTTTGGTTAGCAGGGGAAAGAGTGAGAACGGCCCCTCACAGAGAGGTGCTGGGATTTCTGAGACAGCCCAAACCATCTTGTCACAGATCTGCTCATCGAGCCGTTGCAGCTTATTCAAAGGCTGCTCTGGCCATTACTGGGGCCTTGAGCTCAGCTGTGTTTTTCTATTAGCATCCTGCCTGCTGAATGCATTGAGATGGTTGAGAGAGGAAGGGATGGAGAAGAGGTAAACTAAAAAGCCTTCTCCTCCTCTCTTCCCTAACATTATTATTTATGATACTGTGTGAGTCTGTAGGAGCAGCAGTGAGGGAGCACGAAGCTGCTTTATTAGGTGTGCACTAAAATCTCTTAAAAGGACTTGCTCACGAGAGAAAAAAACTGGCAAACTGTTTCCTTGAAAAAATGCAGGGAATAGCACAACCAGCCTCTTTTCAACATGTTTCCTGGGAGTCAGGGCTGAAGTCCATGGCTGTTTTCCTCACTGTCAATTTTAGCTGTGGCAGGAGGCAAGGTTACTAGTTCATCCATCCTTACTTTATGTCCATCCATGACTTGTGCCCGTGTCTGTCTTTCCTTCAAGTCCATCCTTTACCTGTGTCCATCAATGCTCTGTGTCCATCCTTACCACTCTGTTCTTAGAAATTCCCGCTCCCAGAAGAAGGGGAGCAGAGGAAGGGGGAGAGAAACATCTCTTGTCTCCCACAGCTTGTGGCATCAGTGAGAGATGCAGTTCAGCACAGAGTGTTACTGAGCTTTCTCACAGGGGGATGAGGTAGCCAGGGAGGTGTGTTATCCTCTGAGGACTCACGAGTGGTCCATGCTGGACAGGGGTTACACAGAAGACAGCAGTTATTTTAGGTGCCAAACCCAAGATCTTTTCATGGGAAGCAATGCCTATCTAAATAACTCAGTCTCTGAAAATCAAAATCATGACCCATTGAGGCTTCCCAGGCTGGGCATCCAGAAAATGAGACCTCTCTGGCTGCTGGTTGCTGGGGAGCCTGACCCGGCCTCTAGGTCTCTTCCTCAGCACTGGCTGGTTTCAGGCTGGCCACGGGATGTGGGAAACTGGGAAGGATTCCTTCAGGGGCTGCAGCTGGATGCCCCTTTCTGTAAATTGCTGAGGTGAGAGAAAGGCTTTGTTTTATCTGAGAGAATGCTCCAGGGAGACCTTATAGAGGCCTTCAGTACCTAAATGGGGCCTAGAGAAAAGACAGGGAGGGACTTTTTATCAGGGAGCGTATTGATAAGTCAAAGAGCAACAGGGGATAGATTAGATTAGAGATATTTGGAAGAAGTTCTTTGCTGTGAGGATGGTGAGACACTGGCACAGGTTGCCCAGAGAAGCTGTGGCTGCCCCATCCCTGGAGGTGTTCAAGGCCAGGCTGCATGGGCCTTTGAGGGAGGTGTCCCTGCCCATGGCAGGGGGGTTGGAACTAGATGATCTTTAAGGTCCCTTCCAACTCTAGCCACTCTATGATTCTATGAATCACCCATTCAGTGAGCCAAATTATCATTTACATGCTCTGTGTTTGACTTTTTTTCTGATTGCCTTTGGTTTTTTTTTCCCTAAGAAAGACAATCCCTAAAGGCACATAGACTTCATTGCAAACCCCAATTTCTACAGAGCCTTGGAACACTGCACTGTCAGTACGAGCTTGGTCATAAACAAATATACAAATTAACAAAAAGGCGCTCGTTTGTCTGCAGAAAAAAACCTTCTTTGAACTAGTTACTGCTGACTACAGTAAAACTCACTGGTTTCATGTAAAATACATTGAACTTTGAAATTCCCTTTCTGTACCAACATGCTGCTGCTCATGTAGGCAACGATCTGCGGTAACGCTGCATGTAAAAGATGTCTGCTTTCATCTTCGGGGGTGGTGGTGGAAATGTCAGCTCTGGATTTCAGTCAATGCAATTTTTTTGTTGTCGTCAGGTTTTCCTTTACTAATTTAGGGACCAGTCAGACCTCAACACGTCGAGCAGAAACCGTGCTGCGCCGTGCCGTGCGAAAGCTGGCCGTGGTGTGCTTCCCACCATTTTTCTGGCTGGAAGATCTCACTGTCTTTGGGATTACAAAGCTGTGAAACGGATTGCCAAAAAGATGTTGCCCTTTTGTTCAATGCTTTAAAACGTTGTAAGCCTTCAGTGGAGCCCTGCCTTTCTTCCAGTCCTCCTCCTCCTCCCACCACCGAGGCATCAAATCCAGCAGTGTTGTTACACCATGAGCTTGCCATTAAAGATCTTACCAAACTCTGATGATTGATGGAGTCTTTTCTCTGTGACCAAAATCAACTAAACAGGGATTTTTGAGGGGCTAAAGGGTAACTACAACGCACGTGGCAAAGGGAGCGAGAGGCTTGCATTTCCTGAGCAGTGGTGGAATAAACACAGTATTTACGGGTACAAGGAGGAGAAAATTATTTCATCTGAGCTTTGGTCACTGCAGAGCAAGCCCTGCTTCACAGGCCAGGACACAGAACTGCCAGGTGGGTGGGTTCAGTGCAGTCTGAGGCAGTGGATTTGCTGTCAGAAGAGGGGAATTGGTGGTAATATTTGTCGATAAGCCAGTATTTCAGATCTCCCAGGTCCTCTTCTGTTTTGCACAATTAGGGAGACATCTGTTCTAATTAAGAGACGTATAACGATGCTAAAATGAAAATTGCTGGTTCTGTTCAACTCATTTGTCTCTTTTCTTTAAACACTGCACTTTTAATTGCAGCTTTGACATCTTCTCCCCCTGATTTAGGTTGAAGTAATGCTGTCAGTCATTACCTTTTGTCATGAGCCTCTTTCTGTGGGTTGATGAACATCTTCCAGCCTGTGGAAAAGCAAGTGCTTTTTTACTTGCTTTAACACTTGCCTTGTATTTTTGGCATTTCCCAGGGAACAAGTGCTGAGTAGGAGCGTGCCAATTATGTGCCCCGTGGTGTGTCCAGAGTGTTGGCTCTAAAGCTGTTCCTGCAGCTGGTGGAGCGGCTGCCAGGGCTGACTCCCTCGTGTTGGTGCTTGGTCCTGGCAACGCAAACCCCACAACTTCTTGAGAGCCCTTTATTTGTATGGAGGAAGCCACCGTGACAATTTGGCTCTGGCTATAGATACAGCTGCTCTTGTGGAAGAGAGGACGGTCCCAGCATGTGTTCAGCTACTTGGAGCCCACTGCCTGCTCAGCTCTGCTAGGTGGACCCGAGTCAGAAGGTCGAGTGATCCTAAACGGTTTAGATAGCAGCTCTCTGCTAATAGAGACCTCAGCCCAGGGACAACAAGTTGCCCTGCTGTGGTGGGGAGGTCCCACAGGTGGTGGTGGCTGCAGCTGGCAGCACTCTGCTGTCTGTGTAGCTTTGGCCTTGGTCCAGGTCTGTCCTCACTCCAGCTCTCCAGGGTTATGTCATGCCTTCCTCACGTCGGGGATACCCTCAATTGGGATATGCCAGGGCTGTGATAGGTTCTGGCTTTGAATCAAGGAGAACAGATCCATTGGAGGTGTGCAGTTTGTGTTGCCTCTGTAGGCTCCTGCCTAATGCTTTGTCTTCTACCAAAGCTGTCCTCGGGCAGCATCAGCTGGGAAATGCAGAGTTAACTCCTCTCAGCAGCTCCATGTGCTGTTTTAAGGACAATGTCAGATTTTATGCTTTCTTTCTACAAGTCTTCATGTTCCTCCTTCTCTGTGACAAGGTCCTTGCTTTCACTACTTGTTTATTGAGTGATGACATGCCATAAAAAGCACATTTAACTTTATTTCCAATGCCTAAGAGTATGCAGCCATGCTTTTCACTGAGTAGTGCTGTAGTTGTGACACCAAGGCAAAGGTTCTATGCATTTTAATAGACAAACTGCTACAGAAGGGGGTGAAGATCACCTGCTCTCAGGCTCCCAAGTGCTTCTCCACGCTCAAATAAAAGCAGCAGTTAGATGGGGCAGTATGACAGCAGGTAATAGCTCGCCACAACACTGTTCTTAAGGTATTGCTGCTATAGCAGGGCGATGGAAGAGGCAGTGTTGGAGCCAGCTTTTTATTTACAGCCTCTGGTGGTGCTAAAGGGCCCAGAAGTGGGTGCCAGCTATGTTATAGTCACCCCAGGGCTCCTTCAGAGCGTGTGAAGGGCTGTAGCAGGCCAGGAACTTTGAAGCCTTTACGCTTTTGGGTTCGTAGCAGTCCCCTAGAGGTCAGCAGAGCCTAAATTTTGAAACGGCTCGAGCTGCTGGTAGCATTGTGGGGATGATGAAAGCGAGTTTGGTGCTGGGCTGCGAGACGTTGCTTTTGCTCTCTTGCAACTCCAGCTGTTGCTAGAAAAGGGGTCAGGCTGGGAAAAAGGGAATCAACGCATCAAAAAAAAAAAAGGTCCTGCTTTGGAGAGACAGAGAGCTTGCCGTGGAGAAAGACCACGGGGAGGAGGGGCAGGAAGCAGCCTGAAGATGCTGAAGATGGCATCGTTTTGGCACAGACGTGGGCTAAAGGGTGCTGAGGAGATGACGAGTCGCGAGTCCTGCTCTGCAGGTGCTAGCCATCCAGGGGCTAGACCCCAAACCAAGACCCCAATTCCTGCTGCCAGCCCCTGGGAAAGCTCAGCCTTGCTGGAAGCAAGCCAGGCGGGGAGACCCCAAAATCAGCAGGGCACTGTCAGCATGTGCATTGCATTTCTCATTAATGAGAAAATGAGTTTCCTCAAGTGGCTGTGAGCTTCCATTCACCCTCCAGCCTGCTCGCCCTCTCCCCTGCTGCAGCTGCAGGCCAGGTAACTGGGAGTGCAGTTAGGAAATATGCCTCTTTCTCCCCAGTTTTTCTCCTACTCAGCACACGCCGGACTGTGGCTCCCCTTTTCCCTGCTCTCCATTTTTCTCTGTATCCTGGAGGACCATACGCTCAACTCCAGCAAAGGCATTTGATGAGAACTGAGACTTGCCTGCTTCATTCAGGACTATGTTGTGCTGGAAATGCAATGGTTCACACAGAAAATCAGTGCCAGCTTTTATCCTATCACTCTGTCTCTTTTGGTTAATAAAAGGAAATTTTTTTATTGGCTTTTCTTCAAGGGTTTGGCTTTTTAAAAATTATTCTATTACTTCTTGTTTGTTATATTTCTCTTTGTTTCCCCAAAACCTTTATCGGGGAAGGTTTTGAGCTGCCTGTGAGTCATGCAGCAGCAATGGGGAGTGGCGGCGCAGAGCTGTGGGAGCAGGGCATACGAGTTCCTGCCCCACTTCACGTCTCCTGGCAAAGGCTGCTGGTGGGTCACCCAGATATCGATGGACTTCCCTGGATGCAGTGCCTAGGGAGGTCAACCACGATGCCGGTCACGGCTCTCCTCCATGTGCCGCGGGCTACAGAAAGTGTATGCTCCAACCTTGATGAATTCAGCTCTGGTTTTGAGCCTTCTTAAGTCAGTGTGGCAGAATGCAGCAAAATTATCTATGCAAAGCCTAAATTACGAAGCACAGACCCGTGGACCCTTTCTCAGCTCCATGAAGTGTCTGAGCTTGAGCGCCAGAAAGCTTTTTGGATGCAACAAGCTGTGAGCTGGGGATGTGAAGTGGGATGATGAAGTTCTTGCTGAAGCCCCTTGAACGGTGTGGCAGGACTTGCTTTCCCTTAGTCCCCACACATGGGGACTAAGTCTTTTTCCAGCTCTGCGGGATGGCAGAAGGCACCTTTCTGGGAACCACCACAGCAAGGCCCGTGCTGAATTCCTTCAGGCTTTGTCAATGTGCAGTTTCTTTGTCGTGTCATCCAAAAAAGGGAGGGAGGGAGGGCATTACCTGCAGAACCAGTAGGGTGATCTCGAGCTGGGCTGCATCAGTGCTCCCTGAAGCCTCCTCAAGCACACAGGAGCAGTTAATTCAGTAACTGGCCCCACGCAGCGTTCCTTGTACAAGGTAGACTGCAGCCCAGCAGCAGATCAGCAAAGGCACAAACCACCAGCCCCAGGAACCTGCTTTCAGTGCACAGAAGAGCTCAAGAGGGAAACTGAAGCCAGACTTGCCATCTTTGGGATCCTCAGAAATGTGCAAGAGGTGGTGGAGATAGCAGCTCAACACCGGGGAAGGGGGGATGATTTTTTTGGGGGAAAAAGAAAAAAGAGAAGCCATTTTTATTACTGCAGAAACCAAGCAATGAACAGCAGCTTGTTACTCCTCTTGCTTCACAGGGAATATGCTGACACTGTCAGCCCTGGAGGAAGAGCGGAATCGACCTTGGGCCAGCAGGCTGCAGCTTGAGCCAAAGGTAAAGAGCCCAGGAGGAATCGTCTGGGAGGCCACAGACCTCACCTCAAAGTGGACTGTGGTTCAGGAGCTGGTGGCGTACCTGAGATAAGGAAAGGGAATAATAAAGAGCAGATATGAGAAGACTGAGATCAGTAAGAGGGCATCACAGTAAGGGACTGGTGGAGAAAGAGATAGGTTTGCTCCACGATGGGACTGTAGAAGGCCTTGTGACAGCTGAGTGCAGCCTGTCTCGTCCAGAGCAGGCATCAGAAATAGATGTGGGGATGTAGCAGCATCTTCATGAGAAACACACAGGCAAACATGGCTGTAGGAAGTGCCTGTGAGCAGCAATCACTGCACCTCTTCTCCCCCCTCACCAGTGAGGTGCTCCACACCTGGTCCTGCACTAGCCATCATGGGCTCTGGGAGCTGCAGCCCAACGCTGGCCCCCTTCCCTGTCGCTCAGCTCCTTCTGCCTTTGCAAAAAGACCATTGGCAGGACCCAAAATCCATGTGACTAAGCACCAGCCCGCTGCCGTGGTGTCCCACACCCAGCCAGCCAGCACAGGGAGCAGAAAGGGCTTTGTGTGAGGCACTTCTGCAGCTCTGCGGCTGAAGTACGCCCTACCCTGGGCACAGCTTCCCACCACGGCCGTTTGCATGGTTCACAAACTTGTAGGTGCTATCACACCCTTGGCGCTTTCACCACCAACTGTTCTTTCAGAACAATAAAAATCATGTTTTCCTTCCTAATAGTTTCTTTCCTCCCGCTGGCCCTGCGGCAGGGCTGTTTGTACAATGCATGGCCCGTAGACAAGGGACCTGCCCAGGCCTGCAGGCCCTTGTCCTCACCCGTGCTGAAGCCTGAGAACTAATGGGACAGTGATGCTGCCAGTCAAAACTACCAAAGCAAAGTGACCAACTGCTGCCATTCAGTCACCTATGGTGGCCTGGCACGTGCTGCTTTATCACACATCCAGACAGGTGTTTGGTGGCCAAGTGCAGGGAGTGGAAGCATCCCAGGTGTGTGGGTGGGCTGTTAGTGGGGACACC